CATGGAATTGCCTCAGTACTATCGACCCAAAGAGTATGAAGGACAGGACTGTGTTTTTGAAACTTGACAAGTCCATCTATGGGCAGACCGATTCACCTCGATGAGCATCTATGTCGCGGGATGATCCAACTTGGGTTTCGAAACCTCGGCAGCAGACCCATGTTTGTTTATTCATAAGGAGCATCAACTCATGGTATTAAATTATTGTGATGACAAATCTGGCTCAGTCCAGACAATGATCTGATTGAGTCCTATGTGGGCAGCTCCAGAAACTTGGATATGACCTCACCATGGAAGAAAAAGGTGACATCTTTGGATTCTCGGCATTATTTTGAAAGACAGGGAGACAATGTTAGCTTACTCAAAAAGGGCTCATCAATAAAGTCATCGAATATACTGTATGTCTTGACGCTAGCAAGAAGCTTTCTCCTGCGCCACCGATCCTCTCGGAGCTGACAAACTGGGGGCCCCATTTGAAGAAAGTGAGCTACCAGCTGCAGTTGGGATGCTGCTTTATATTGCATCCAACACTCGCCCAGACATCACCTTTAGTGTACATCAGTAGCACGATTCAGCCACAACCCCAGGCATTCCCATGCTCAAGCCATCAAACGAATCATTCGGTACTTGATTGGCACAAGTGACAAAGGCATTTGTTTTAGCCCTAACATTGATCAGGGACTGTTTGTTGGGTCGATGCTGACTTCGCCGGATTTTATGGATATGAGGATGAATCAGATCCTGTGTCCGTAAGTCTCGCACTGGTTTGTGCTTGACTTTGTTTGGGTGCCCTTCATCTGGTCCAGCAAGCTACAGACTACATTACTTTGAGCTCCACTGCTGCTGAGTATGTCGCCTTCAGCATGTCAATGAGGGAGCTGCTTCCTATGCGAGCTTTGCTCAAAGAAATTGGTAGCAAACTGAATATGCCGGTAATTACTGACAGTCTCGTGCGCTCTACAGTGTTCGAAGAACAACCAAGGTTGCTTGTCTCTTGTGAATGTTCCCAAAATGTCTGCGCGCAACAAGTATTTGGCATTGAAGTACCACTTCTTCAGGTCCAATATCGGGGAGTCGAAGGGCATCGTGGCCAAGTATATTCTGACTCTGGAACAACGGGCCGACATTTTCACTAGGGTCTTCCGGCTCCACATTGCTGTCATTCGGAAGCTCCTCATGGGATGGTATTTTACCTCAGCACTTTGCTGGGGACTCTCTCCTATCGTTTCTTGCTCCAGCTTCATTTCAGCTGTAAGGGAGTGCGACGGGATACAGCTTACAATTCAGCTTTACAGCTTTACAATTAGCAGGCTTATTCTAGAAAATAATCAATAACTGCTCACTTATTTGGAAATACAAACTTTACATCTCTTAGATCCTTAGACTAGTCAATGCACAATGGTATTGTCGCAGGGGGGGGGTAGGGGATTCAATTCCTCAGGAAGAAGCCATCAAGGCAGAGGCAACAGGAACCCCAACAAGAGTTCTTCCAAGCGCCAATACCTGTTCCATCCCAATGGACAGGCAGACAACAGGTACTATCCTTTTGAAGAGACTTTGACCCACATTGTCCAGAACCTCAGGGTCAAGCCTGAATGGAATGATGTGCCACTGGCTTCATTGGCTATTGAGACCATGACCAGTCAGGCACCAACCAAGCCGACCAAGCCGACAGCTAAGCCAACATCTGCGGATCCCAATATCCTAGAGTACGATGCCTTGGAACTCAGCGAGTACAAGTCAGAAGCAACCATCGATGACAAGTCAACTCGTTACTATGAGAACATCCTCAAGACTGGTGCAACTGCCATTCAGATGACCTGCTGTACCGAATCCATGAGGTCCAAGCTGAGAGGGCTAGGAGACTATGAGGAAGATACGGAGACTACCAGAAGACCGTTGAGGCAGCCTATGCCATGGACGTCACCATCCAGTTCCCTGCTACCCTGGATCATCTCCGAGAGACACTGTCCAGATTCAAGGCAAGCAAGGAATGGTTGGATCAGAAGAAAGCCAGGGAACGGAAACCTTACTCCAATCCCAAGCCACCTCCTTTCGATCACAAGAAGATGAAAGAGGGACTTCCAGCTGCTGTCTTCTATCAGCAGTCACAGCCAGACGAAGCCTGCTACTGTTGCGGCAGTCCTGATCACAAGTTGCCGCAGTGCAAGGTCAAGTCCAAGATTCCCAAGCCCGAGTGGGCAATCAACAAGTGCAATGGCATGAAGAAATCCTTCATGCCGCAGTACCATTAACATCAGATGCAACTGCTCCAAGGAGTGTCTACCACCGTGGTGACGGCACCAGCACCAGCTCCAGCCGGAGACACTTCGACCAGGAGTGGACTCAGTGGAATCCCTCCATCTCCTATGAGCCAGTCGAACTTCCAACAGTTTCCCATGCCGAGCCAAGTCTCACAGGCCAGCGCGCCAGGGTCAGTGCAGTTCCAGTTCCAACACCATGAAGTTGACGGAGTCCCGCCCCTGATGGCCAGAGATGACTCCACAACCGACAGTGAGCCGGAAGAATCCGTAGACTGGGGGCAATTCGCCGTTGATTTCCTTGGAGGAGTCCCGCTTTATGCGGAAGAGTGGAGGCGAGATGTGACATCATCAGAAGAAAGCTACCACTCCGGCTACAGCCACGATCAGGTTGACGAGGGAGGTCCAGACGGTGTAAGCATCGGGTCTGACCTCATCCTACAGCGGTACAGTAACACCCATAATATTCTTGTGAGTCGTTCTGCCTTCCCTGACACTTCCTTCAACACAGATCCATTCGAAGGAGTGATCCCTCGGAATGGGCAAGACGATGATCAGAGCTGTTGTTCCGACTACAGCTTGGATTCAGAGAATGAGTTCCGCTGCTTGTACCATGGACCCAGCCGGCGTCAGCGAGAAAACCAACGAGGCAATTGTTATGAAGACTTCCAAGAGCAGCAACATCAAGTTGCGTTTGAGTTTCCAGGAGTGGCAGATGCCGAACTCACAGGAGTGGCAGAGCCAAATCTTGCAGGAGTGCCGGTCAAGCACCTCACTCCTGATGGCCCCAACACTGTGTACATTGACAGCGACAGTTCTGTCCGCACAGTCATGAATGAGCACATGCTTGTCAACCGAAGATCTTCCAAGCGTCCCATCGAGATGGGGACCAACGTTGGCAGCACCAAGCTATAAGAATCTTCCAAGATACTCAGTTGTAGGAACACAAGAGCTGGGAGGGAGATCTCTAGTAGGGATGGAGATCTCCTCCACTGGCTGAAAGGCCAGCTCAAAGAGAGCTGGTTCAATGCTACCCAATCACTGCTTCAGAGTACTTGGGGAGCTGGTTACATTGCCCTAGCACATACCACAAAGGATTCTATCTACTGCAGGGCTGACGGTGCTACTGGGTCTCAGGGTTACTCTTTCATTACTATCTTTCTTACTATAAGCCAAAAACACCATTACCACGATTTCACTCCAGTTGACAGAACTGGCTCTTTTGGAGAGGGTATCCACTGTTGGAGGTCCTTGGAGAGGACTGTTGGTGTTGATCATTCCAATGTATCTAGGCTGAAGGCTATGTATGCTCTGGAACACATAGGCATGCCTCAGCTATATACAAATTGTCACATGGCTGCAATGCTGTGTGTACTGATTGACTGTGCACGATCAAAAGCATTGTTTCCATCCGACTAAACCAGCACAGCTGTGGCAACCCCATAGAGGCTCCTATTGCTAATTTCATCGCTCCCCACCATTCGAGTCATTAAATGGGGGCGTCAACAAGCTTCTCTATGTCTGGGTCATTCCTCGACATTCCCACAAAACCGGGAGCATCTGGTTCCTCAGTTTGGACCTTGGCTGTGACCTAATACAAGGTCAGCAGCCCTATTGAATACATCAAGGTGTCCATTGCTGGGTACCACTTGGAACAAAGGAAGGGACATCACACTTGTGATCTCAAACCCTCCAAAGTAGATGGCTGGCTCCAAGGCAAAGGCATTGGATTGCCATCGTTGTCCAAGAGAGGAAAGGTGTTAGGATCTAGGACAGACGTGGTGTGCGCAGAGGTACTTCTTGGGATGGACACTACACATCCACCTTGGGTTGGTCACTCGCGAAGGTATGTGTGGAACATGTCTTGAGGCTATCTGCATATACTCCCCATTCACAAGGAACCTATTGCACTTGGACGTCAGTAAGGATCCCACTTGGTCTCCCCATACTTGCACCATAGCTTGGAATTGGCTTAGAAGCCATCTGTTTGTCTCCCCATAAAGCTCAGAGGGGCAGAGACAAACAGTCAGTAGTCACATTGGAATCAATGCGTGGTTGACAAAATGTTACAACACAGACATCTCAGGCAGAGATGAGTCTTTTGACACCACTGGTGGCAACAGACAAGTTGCAGAATACAAAACGGTATGCTTGAATCATGATGACAAATCTAGCAAGGGGACTTGTCATACGGTGCCATTTCCTGCGGAAGGTAGCCCCCAGTGTGGGTGGCATGCTACCCCGCAGACATGGACGGTGCCTGGTTTCCTTGGGCTTGACCGGTGCAGCACGTACACTAGTCGCCCCATCAAAAATCCAGGTTGGGATTGGGCTTGGGCTTGCCCTTGGAGGCTTCGTCATCTGCCATGGGAGAATCCAAGGTATCCCGAACTGCTGGGTCAGCTTCACGCTTGGAATAAACTGCAGGCGGAGGTGTCGAACCTATCAGAACTTGTCTGTCAGCCTCAGAGAACTTGCACCAGATTTGGCGGCCGACGGGCGAAAGCTTGAACCAAGTTGTGCTTGGGAGTTCGAGGACTTGCTGCTCCCCACCATCGTTGAAATGGCCTTGTTCCTCATCAACAGTTGCTAGGTTGGCTAGGTGGGAGTCGGGAACACGGCAGTTGACATTGTAGTGGGTGGCGGCATTCTTGAGTGTCTCCTTGTAGGCTTCGTAAGTGAAGCATTCCTGGGGACCATGACGGCACATCATTTCATGCTCACGGGACCTGATGTCGTTCAGGACTTGGACATCGGTGAAGGCACGCTGCAGGAACAGCTTCTGCATGCTGTCGCTGAGCTTGTCACTAGGATCTTGGTGGCCATCATTGTAGTGGGTGATGGTCTCGTCAAACTTGATGACAAAGTCAACAGCGGAGCCCTGCCTTGGACTGTACTGGACACTTGAAAGCCAATGGAGGACCTCAACATGGTCCAGGGAGCCTGCCACTGATGCATGTGCATCCTGGATCAGTTCCACAAGGATTGCAAAGCAATCAGCATCATGGAAGTGAGACTTCACAATGACTTTTCCATTGGTTGTCTTCACTGTGTTCAGGAGGACAGCATAGATCCACCGGTTCATCCGTAGGAGTTCCTCAAAGTACTCGGTGGTCATGGGAACATAGCTAGTGTCGAAGACCTTGTAGAAGCCTTGTGCTCTGGCTATGACAATGAAAGCCTCATACCAAGTGTCAAACTCCTTGTTGGAACTAAGAGTAGGGTAGGCTGTGGCATCTGCTTTGGCACGGAAGTACCTGCGTTCTGGTTCTGGATTGCCACCGCCTCCACCTCCTCCAGGACATGGATCAGTGCCATCAGGATCTCCTTGGCCACCGTTGTCATTACCTTGTGGATTGCCACCAAAGCAGTCTGGATTTCCTGAACCAACAGGACCTGCTACATTGTTGGGACTCCTTCCCTGCATCCTTTTCATGGGAGACATGCCATGCATGTTGGAGAAGATGGATTGCTTCACCTGTGGTTGTGGCCATTGGCTGCCTAGAGGGTTGGGAATGGAGTTCCTCTTTGACTGCTCCTCCAGAGGCACAAAAGGTTGGCTGATTGGAGGGATGGCTGAATACACTGGTGTCTGGGATGAGACTACTCCAGTAGGTTGGATGGTGGAGGACACAGGTTGAATGGGAGTGTACTCTACCCTGGGATGTGATGGGATTGTTGTTGGTTGGTGGGTGTATTCCTCCCCATTGGGGCCCATACTTGGTCAAGGTAGCCATCTCCAATAGGCAGAGAGGCAACATCCATGGCAACATGCAGTTGGAATGGATAACCAAGGGGGTCCCTAACATCACCCAACAAGCTCTGTTCCAAACTGCCTGGTTCTGAATCGGTCCTCCCAGCCTTTATCTCAGGGCTGGGCTTGAGTGATAACACAGGTGTTCTAGGAATGGAGCCATTGGATAGTATGCCATGGAGGGAAGGTGCATTGAAGGAATCAAGGGCGGCTTGCTTTGATGCCTCTGTCAATGCCAATGTCAGCTGCTCAAGTTGTTGGCTGGTCATTGTTGTTGTGTCATGGTTGGCTAGATTGGAGGAAGCCAAGCTGGGGATGGCACTGTGGTGTGGTGGTAACAAACAGCCGGGGGGATCCACAGGTGTTCTGACAGGAGGAGCTGGAGCTGGTGCCTCTGCAGTAGTGGATCTGTTGGTGTTGTCCTGTGTGTTGGTGCCATTGGATGCTAGTGATATGGTGTCACTGGCATCCATTTCCTGCTGTTGCTTCTTCTTCTTGCGGCCCATGATGATTGATGTGCTGGCTAGACAGTGCAGTAGTGTAGTGGTAGTGTAGTGGTGTTGTTGCCTGTTCCTTGGAAGGGTACCGGTTGGATGAGTATTGTTGGTGTTGGTGGTGTGTGTATGTTCCTTGGAAGGGTACCGGTTGGATGAGTATTGTTGGTGTTGGTGGTGTGTGTATGTGTGGCTGAAGAGGTGCTGCACAAACACAATCGCAGAAATCCAAAATGAGGTCTAGGGAAGCTGCACTGCTTGTAGATGACTAAGCAGGACCTTCTCTATCCTCTACTATCCTTGGGTACCTTGTTAATAGATCGAAAGGTGTGCTCGTGGTGCTCCGAGTACCTGAATAGAGGCTGTTACGGAGCGACGGATCTTCGTGGCTTTCCGGGTTCCTTCGAAGAGTTCGCGATTTCGAGGAAAATGTGAGGATCGATGTGGATGCTATGTGTCGGCTTGCTTTCAGTACAGAGGTGCGGCAAGTACGTCACTCGGAAGAGGTACGTCTTGTGAGTACCGTGTGAGTACCGGTTCGTTGCCAGTATCCTTGAAGATGCACGACTGGAGATTTCCGTAAGGAAAATCGCGAAAAAGGATCGACAATTGTGTTCGGTCTATTCCACTATCAGCCGGTGTAACCAAGTCGATTAACAAAGGACTGGTTGGTGTATCTTGTCGGCCATCCTCAGGTTAGTAGGTGACTGTCTTGGTTTCAGCTCAATCCAACGAGAATTGAGTTTTCGGCACGATCGCGTGTTGGTTGGTTGATCGTCGGCGAATCCACTCTTCCACTCTTCTTCCACTCTTCTTCCACACTGAAGAGCCACTCTTGTGTTGTGTCTATGCAAAAATGTTAATCCTATAAGAATCTTCCAAGATACTCAGTTGTAGGAACACAAGAGCTGGGAGGGAGATCTCTAGGGATGGAGATCTCCTCCACTGGCTGAAAGGCCAGCTCAAAGAGAGCTGGTTCAATGCTACCCAATCACTGCTTCAGAGTACTTGGGGAGCTGGTTACATTGCCCTAGCACATACCACACAGGATTCTATCTACTGCAGGGCTGACGGTGCTACTGGGTCTCAGGGTTACTCTTTCATTACTATCTTTCTTACTATAAGCTAAAAACACCATTACCACGATTTCACTCCAGTTGACAGAACTGGCTCTTTTGGAGAGGGTATCCACTGTTGGAGGTCCTTGGAGAGGACTGTTGGTGTTAATAAAATAAAGAAACGAAATTTCATTTTAAAGGCTACACCTCGTCAGACGATCCGCTGAACGGTGCCGTGACGAACCCATATACCTCAGGCGCACGAGGGCGCCCACTTAGGATGGGCCTAGTGTAAGCCCCCCACCGGAGAAATTGAACAAAACTCCGGAGGGTGCTGTACGACTAACTATCTACTCTAGGCTAAATCGCCCGCTATTGCTATGGGAATCCCACATCGGTGCATAGTTACCCTGATTGGGAAGGCTGCTCGCGTGCATGCTCGTCCCTCATTGCTTTGTCAACAACTGGGAGCCAATTGGCCAGCCATGCTTTGATATCTCCCGGCCCTTTGGCCATCTGTTCCTCCAGGGGTCGCTTGAAGATGGTATCAAGGAGATGCTCTGGGAGCAGGTCCACTTTTTCATACAGGAGCTCAACTTCTCGTTGGAGCTGTTCGTGTTTCTTGCGCCAATTCTGTTCCTGATCCCGGCCGTGCCTGGCGGCATTGCGGTCTTCCCAGAGATTCCACCACTGCTGGATCAGAACAGAAGCCAGATTGGTGACCCAAAGCTGCCCGGTCTTGGTGGTCTCCTTGGAGCCGACCCGGTGCAAATAGGCATCTTGGTGCTTGGCCCAATGCTTGGACAACCGTCCTCTCAGGAAGTTATCCCAACCAATGAGATTTTGAGTGTCAACGAGGTCCCTATACCGGTCCGGGTAGTGCCACGGGTGGAGGAATCGATCTTCAAAGTGATATTGAAGCCCATCCAGAACAATTTCCAGGAGGAAGGGGTCTGTGGAATCCTTGCGCAACTTTGTACTGATTGCTCGTTGCATGGTCCCCCGCCACAAATCCACGTCAACATGCGGACATCTGTAAACATGGGTCTCTGTCTCGTGATCACCGCCGCAACGGGGGCAGTGGTGATCGTACTTGGGGTCGTCTCGGTGTATCCGTTTCCCAACTGTCAACAATTGGAATAGAAACTTCACAATTGTCGGTTTGTGGATCTCATGACGGTTGACAGCACGACCATGGGCTGTCCAATCGACCAATGTGGGGGTGTCCTCGTCCCAATCAGGATTCAATTTGACAATGTGGTTGAACAAGGGCTGGTCGTTCCTTAGATGCCGTAGTGTTCTGGGAAGCTTGTATGTGCATGTTCCTTTGGGAAGGTGCAGCTGGGCCAGGTTTGCCGGAAATCGGAGTACCTTGGAGTGATCCTGTTTCATGTGTCGGGTCATGTAGCTGCCTGCAAGTTTGTCAGCTCTGCAGTTCAGTTGAGCCTTCAAAGGTAGCGTGTCGATGGCCTTGTGCTTGTCCTGGTGCGATTTGATGTGCTCCATCTTGGGCACTGTGACGGCAGCCCGAAAAGAATCCTCGATCTGCTGCAAGACATCCCAGTCGGAGTCTAAGGAGTCATTGGGGTACCAGCCCTCGTAATCCAGACAACCAGCACACTTGTTGGTAACGGATTCATTGTCGCACAGGTGCACCATGCTGGTTCGTTCGTAGAACTCCAGCAATCCCCGCAGAAAGCAAGTAGGGGAAAGAATGCCATAAGCCTCGGCCCTATAGGATGTCGGAACCATACCAAAAACGGGACCAGAGCACCGAAGCACAATCTGACCGCGATTGTCGGCCAGAACCCAAGCAAAACTCGCCTTTCCGGCATCATTGTCTGCAGCCCCATCACTTGCCACCCAGAAGGGCATGGCTGTGACAATCTGCAGGACGGAGTAAGCGTCCACCATCCATTCAAGCTCGTCATAGAGAGCCGTTTCCCATGGCTCCAAAGTGGCAAGGAAATCCTCAAATGTTGTTGGTGTGGGTGGTAGTGGACGAGCAGGAATGCCTGCTGTGAAACCACTACCAACGACCACTGTCTCACGCTTGTTGAAGAGGGTCAGGTCCAGCACTCGCCGCTTTCCAGAGTCTGGTTGAACAGAGGTGCAAGATCGGGGGAAGTAGGGATCCAGTGGCACCGAGTTGTGTAGGATGCTGGCGTCCAGGTAGGTCTCATCTCCGAACTCCCAGCGATGAACTGTCCGTTCCTTGTTCGGGACTGGATGTTGGAACATCCAGAATTCGGATTCCTCATTATCGACTTGTTGATAGACGACATTGGAATCGACCTCATAGAAGAACCTGTGTCGCATGCGGAGCTTGTCAGCAGAGACGAGCCACCTCCCCAGGGGTACATCCAACGTCAGATTTGGAGCGAACAGGGATAACGCTTTCCTCCACAACCACCAAGTCCTTGGATCCTTGGGTCGGTCTTGAAACCTTTTGAAGTAGGTGGTGCGAGGCATCAGAGGACTGGAAAAGCCATGCCAGAACTCCTCCCGGATGTATGTGCCACATGCCGTAGTGATGTCCGCAAATGTGACAACTTGGAAGTAAAGACGCACATAGTTGATCTGTTTCAGATCTGCCTCGGAGAAATTCCCATACCACCCAACCCAATCCATAATGTAGGAGTCGTGCTCACGCTGCAACGGGGGAATGTGAGCGTTGTGTACTTCAATCGTGCTTCCAACAGATTGAAGGAACCTTCGCATGCATTGGAACAGCCCTACTGGGAGATGACAATCGATTTCGAGATCCTCAAGGATGGGCCGGCCAATTCCGGCATGGAATTGCAACCATGCGTATGTGACTTCACTTAGATCTCCGATGTCGGTGCACCTGGTCCTCCAGTGCTTTAGGAACTGCTGGATGACCCCGACTCCCTGCTTGTCGGCGAGTTGAAACATCTCAATACCCCCAGCTTCCAGGGACCATAGCAAATCACTTTTGCAGTATTCGCTCTGTACCCCATTTTCTGAAGGGCAGCTCGGCGTGGAGCCGACTCAATTGTATCAAGATCGACATCCTTGAAGAAAGTGGTCTCCAAGCAGTAACCCACACTCGAAAGGAAGATGCTGCGATAGAACATGTTGGCTTCCCGTCGATTCAGTGGTGACCCTTTCAGAACCCTGCATGGTATAATGGGTGCATTTCTTTATCAGAGCTGCTTTCTGTGCTGCAAGATTTCCAGCCGGGCCTTTGAAACATCCCAGTGACTTGTGATCTTTGTAGTTGTCGACTGGTTTGATCGGCGTGACGATCCCATCAGTGGATTTCACCTTGATTGATGGTGTAAAGTCAGTCCCCGAGACAAGCTTTGGTTCGCCACTGGATCTGAACTCATATCGGAGATGATGAAAGGAACACTTCGAAGCCTCCAGCTTGCCACCCGACGACCACAGAAGATCACTCCACCATTGAGCATCTTTTGTCGCCTTGTCCACCAGTTCCTGCACTGAGGGAATAGTGTTGGTAAGAAAGCAATTCGTTCGAGAATTCGTATCATCAACAAACCCTGTCATGAACAGCTTGACCCGCTTTGAGCCGTCTGGGCTGGCAAAGGTGGCGCCAGTCATAGGGCTCGAAACAATCAAATAGTGTACTTGAGATAAGCAGCCATAAGGCCGGGGAGTTACCAGCTCCTTGCCCAGACCCGTGCCAGGGATCTTCCTCCGTATGACCGAGAAACGTGACTGGCGTTCCCAGAGGGGTCTTGATGTGATACTGGGCCTGCTCTAGGTTCATTCCATTCACTTTGCCCATCTTGCGGCTGGCAAGACTAGCAATGTACATGAGAATCCTGTCGTAGCACGCGGCTGCGTCATTGTCATTCTTGATTCATGGTAAGGACAGTAAATGTACGTCTTCCCATTGACTGTCTTCTCATGTGGTTCGCACTGCTTTGGTTCCACCATCTTCCAGGCATACTTGTCGGCGTACCTGGACTGCCTATCTTCCTTCTTTGCTGCTCCTTTGTCGGAAGCTTGCTTGGAGTCTGGCTTGTGGATCATGTCAACCTTTGACTTGAGGGCGATGATCTCGAGCTTGTCGTCTTCCATCTTGGACTTCAGAGCGATAATCTTGAGCTGTTCGTCTGACTTCTTCATCCGCTTGTCCTTGCTGACCATCGCTTTGTATTTCTCAAAAGCGATGTGCATCAGATTCTCGTACTGAAGTTCGAGAGAACCATCTTCATAGGCATCTTGATTCCGAGCCATATACTTGACGGATGCCGTGTCAGCGCAGTTCGCATATCCATCGAACAGGCTGAGTAGCATTGGTGGTGGTTCTACGCTGCGTGACTCCAGTTGATCAATCAGATCCTCGACAACGAAGTTGAAGTCTTCGATGTTGGACTTTGCCTTCTCCGTGATCGCGTCAAGGTTGATCAGTTTCTTGTTGAGGATTGACACCGTTGCTTTGGTTTCAACAGATACCATCCTGATGAGCTCGAAAAGCATACACATCCCGTCTTCCTTGATGATGGGATCTGGCTCGGGAGCACCGTCTGCAGCTGGCTGGCTGGGCTATATTCACAAGGTAGCTGTCAACGCGTGTTGTGAGTCGATTGGCCAGCTTCGGAGTGATCGACGCAATGATGAGCTTGCGCAAACATGCCGAGGCTTGATGCTCTCACTGTTGCTGTCTCAAATACGCTATGGCGTGAGCTCTCACGTTTGCCACGGTCAAACTTCCGTGTTGCGTGGTGATGTTCTTGCTCACTCCTCGTGTATTGTTGACCATCAAGATCGTGGTCCATCCGTATGATTCGGCACGTTGAAAGATCTTTCGCAAGAAGTCCCGAAGTCCAGTTTGATTTCCGTCGTAGAGCACCTTGAAAGGGGTAGTCGACGCGATAAAGATCTTCAATCCCGTCACTGACGTGAAATCCCATGGCAGATTTCCAGCTCCAGCTGGGTTGATAGCGAATGCTACCGGAGGGGGCGGTGGCGGAGGCACTTGTTGCGGTGGGCGCAGAGCATCAAGGACGTTTTGGTTCTGCAACGTGGCTGCTACCGCGTTTGCTACCGCCTTCTCAACGAGTTGACGGATCTGTTTGGCGTCCATGACTTGAGGGTTTTGTCTTGCCTGCGTTCTTTCTCTCCTTCTTCTGATCCGGTCACGGACTATAAGGAGTTGTTGTTCTGCCTGACGAGCTTGTTCGGCTCTTCTTGTAGCCCTTTCTTGTCTGTCAGGAAACTGACCTTGATCTTCTGAACTTAAGTCAGAAATCTTGCTTGTTGCCTTTCAATATCTTGAAAGGATTTGGGCGCCCTTAATCGAAAGATGTGAGGGTCTGATGGTCGACAGTCCACCAAATTCCGAGGTGCTCCGTATCAAATACTTAAGTAAGTGAGAGGAGTTGCTCGAAGTATGCAGCATGCGCAGAGGAAGCGTGAGAGTTCGTTTGCTACATTGTGACTACAGTACTCATTAAATTACCTAACTTCTCAACTGTTTCAACACCAACATTTCAGTTCCTCATCAGTTGACTTTGCTATTTCCTTGCAGGATTGGAAGCAGGCTGATCTTCCAGGTTGTTGAGGATCTCATGATCCCTCACAATCTCACATACATGCGCCCTGCACAAATCACGGACACTCATTACAGCGAAACATTCTGTAGCCTGCAGCGCGCAGAGTACTGGCTCCGGGATGATTCCAGCAACAAAAAACCTGTTCGTGATCATGTTTGCAATGCAATTGCCACAGTTGGAAGTATTACTGCCATGCAGTGGGCGCGCCAACAAGAAGGATTTGCATGGGATGCGCGGACATGCTGGCATGCTGCTAAGAACGGACACTTGGAATTGCTCCAATGGTTAAGAGAGAATGGTTGTCCATGGAATGAGTGGACGTGTGCTTTGGCTGCCGAAAATGGCCATTTTGAAGTTTTGAATTGGGCTCGTGAAAATGGTTGTCCATGGAGTGTGAGAACAACTGCTTTTGCTGCTGTGGGTGGCCATTTGGAAATTCTGAAGTGGCTTCGTGCAAATGGTTGTCCATGGGATGCTCGAACATGCACTGCTGCTGCTGCAGGTGGACATTTGGAACTTTTGGAGTGGGCTCATGAAAATGGTTGTCCATGGGGTGTAGCATGCACTGCTGCTGCCGAAAATGGACATTTGGAACTTTTGAATTGGGCTCATGAAAATGGTTGTCCATGGAATGAAGATACATGTGCCTACTGTATGCTGCTGAAGGTGGACATTCTTTGGAAATTCTAAAGTGGCTTTGTGAAAATGGTTGTCCATGGAACGCATAGACGTGTGCTGTTGCTGCTGGCGAAGGCCATTTGGAAATCTTAAAGTGGGCTCGTGAAAATGGGTGTCCATGGACTGCACGCACATATCGATATGCCTTGTTTTCAAAACCGAAGAAATGACAAAGGAGAAGAGATCCTCCAGTGGCTACTCGACAATGGCTGCCTGCCCTCAGTATGACGACGAAGGAAACTAACATGGTGAAGATGAAGATTGAAAGATTCCTCCTGGTACGGGATCCACAAGCAAAGTTGCTTTGTGTACCGGTACGGTAGGAGCCATGTGGTTCGGCAAGCGATGCATCCGAGTGATACATGAAATCCCAGCCAAGTTGAGCCTTTCTAGCTCGCATTCCTGTAGAAGAAAGAAAGAAAGAATAAGGAATTATAATGGACGATGGAGTCCCCTCAGTCTTGTACTGTACCTATAAATAATTGAAAAAGCCCAACCCAGCTACAACGTTGAGCGAGGCAACCGGTACGATGTACCGTCTGGATGCAGCCATGCATGAATGTAGCTATCGATAGAAAAACTAGTAGCTAGTTCTTCACCTATTCCTTGGGATCCCAGCGTACTGTAGCCCGCACCTTTTCCGCCTCGTCCATGGCAGCAGTGGTGCGCCATTACGTCCATGTACCGGTACCAGGTACTGTACCTACCGTATCTATCGTTCGTATCGTATTCTCAGACAGAAACAGTAACCCACCGGACTGACTGGTGCATGTAGGTACGGTACGACTGTAGTAAACTAAAAGGTTGTGAACCAACACAGGAGCCATACCTAGCTACTAGCTAGAGTTACTGGTACATGTAGCTAATTTCCCTACCACCGCTACCGTACTACTAGCTAGTAGTCTAGAAACGACTTGAAGATCATGGCACAAAGGCACTCATCGTTCTTTGGGCCTTGCCACCGGTACCAACGTACCAACTGGCTACACGACGTACTCGAAGTCCATTCAATTCCGAGTGCTCATTGCACTTTTTGTCTGTGCTCATTGCAGATGTAAGAGTTTATCGATGGACATTTTCGATTTAGTTAGAGATCCAGTTTACCTTTCACCGTAAAAGTCATCCTTCTGTTCTCTTTGGTGTCATAGCGGTAATCCATTTAAGGTTATCCCGAACGAAAGATATAATTGTATTACTTCCCCGGAAGACTGAACGTCATTGAATAAGTCCATGGTTTTCCTTCATAGTTATTGGCAGAACCCCCCTTTTGGTGCATCAGCCCCAGCAACTCTTTGCTCCTTTATCATGCATTTGTCTGTCTTCGCCAATGGCCATCTCATCATTGCGTTTGCCATCTTATTTTCTGTTGGTGGTTGCTTGTTGCGTGGTACCGGTACTGTCGTTGAATGTTGAATGATCCTGAGATAGTAGTACTATCATACTAGCTAGTAGTATCATATGACGATGATGACGATGACGATGAGAATGAGGATGCGTTTGGCATTGCTTGGATGTGTGCTGTTGACTATAAGCAGCCGCAGTCTTTGCCATGCTCAGTCGAACAATGTTACTTCTGTTACTACTAGTAGTACTTCGAGTTCTTCCGATGTATTGGTGTCGATGAGTCGGAGTGTGGACACTACTACTACTACTACCAATAGTACTAGCAATGGGTGCACATTCGCGGGCAAGCTCGTATTTGGCATGCCGACGACATTGGACCAATCTGGCAAATACTTTACATTTGGTCAAATTCAAACTTCGACGAATCAATTGGTGGCGGATTTCATCAACCAAGAACGCTGCGGCATTCGACTAATGAGCCGTGGTCAGTACGCGTTGGAGCTACGGTACTACGACGATCGATCGTCCGTCTCCGTCACACAGCGGATTGGTCGTAAACTGATTGACAACAACAACTCGGGAGTCGATTTCATCATGGCAGGCTATCCGAGTGGGTTGACGGAACCATTGGCAGAAATCGTAGATTCGCGCCACCGCATGCTCATGGCGGGAACGGCCGCGAATCCTACGATTTACGCCAATCGACCCAAAACATTTGGCGTCAATCCTAGTGCCAAGCTGTCGCACGAATCCGGTCTTCAAGCGTTTGCCAATGCGGGCGCCAAGACGGTCGTGACGATTATGGAAGACTACAGTGTCCTGCAAACCCAATGTGGCGCGGTACCCGAATTGGCTGCGTCCTTAAATATGACACTCATCAGTTCCAACTTGGTGGCAGCGTCGCCCAATATTTCGCAACTCGAACCACTCGCGCGCAATATTGCCAAACAAAATCCAGATGTCGTCCTCACGTGTTTTTACGACTGTGTGCCGTGGATGCAAGCATTGCGACATGCCAAGTGGACACCGAAAGGATTGAGTGCCACAATTTGCATGGGATCGGAAACGTTGCACGAAGGCGTCGCCACTACGGATATTCCCTATTTGGCTGGGCCGAGTCCCTGGAATCCTACCGTTGTTTCCAAAGATGCTCTTACGGGATGGTCCTCGCAAGAATTCGCCGATCGATTCCTCACTGAATCGTCGCACGATACTGTGCCCTATCATGCCGCACTTTTTGCCACGGCGCTTTCGATTCTCGTGCAATCCATGGAAGCCACTGATTCGACCAACGAAGATACACTCGTCAATTACATGCTCAATCAAACGTTTCGCACCACACTCGGCAATGTGGCATTCAACCCAAATGGACAAAACAAAATATCCCCGCCTCTTGTTCAATACGATACCAACGGGGTCATTCAAACGGTCTATCCTCCCAATGTCGCATCCGCACCACTGCTCTATCCCATGCCGACGTGGGAACAACGCGATTGTCAACACGTGTCGCCGTGTGGTCAAGAAGGAGGAGAGTGTACCCGTCAAGGCCATTGTGTTTGTCTGCCCCCACAAATCTCGGTCGGGTCGGGGGCTACCGCGGCGTGCAATGATCCGGAAGAACTCAATTTTTTACCATCGGCATTAGTGGCATGTGGCTATGCCCTTTGTGTCCTGGCATTGGTCGCATCTGCCGTCGCGGGAGTTTGGACATGGATTCATCGACGGGCGTGGATTGTCAAGGCCAGTCAACCCGCCGTGTTGGGATTGATACTCGTTGGATGTGCCATTTCTACACTCTCCATGATTTTCATGGGATTTCAAACCACCTATCGACAATTGGACGATGGACAAGAGAATCCAGAAGTGGCACGTGTCGATGCTGCCTGTATGGCCGTTCCATGGTTGGTACGTATATTCGTCCGATAGATAGATGCAGTCGATCCATGCAATCCTTCAGTATTATTACGGAGGCAGACTACTGTTCACTAACTTGTATGTGCTGTTTTTGATTTTTGTTCATTTTCATTTTCAGTACGGCGTGGGCTTTGTCATTGCCTTTTCCGCATTACTCGCCAAAATTGAACGGGTGCGATTGATCAACAAGGCAGGAAAAACAAAGGAAAATACTAAAATTGGGCTCATGCGGGTAGGACATATTGTGCTTTTCATGCTCACTGTGGAAATTGCAATACTGGCAGGTATGTATACTTTTTGAGTTGTATTGTATTGTATAGATAGGATCGTGTTGGTCTGTTTGCATCTATTATTGTTTGGAGTTGCAATCGAATGCGGCTCACATTACAAACATTCCTGCAACACGCTTTTTTTTTAATTTGAAAATACGCAGCCTGGCAGATTGTATCTCCATATCAATGGGAACGGGAAGTGCTACAGGAAGAGAATGGATTCCCAGTCGAATCCGTGGGGAGATGCTCCTCCGATCAAGGACCCTACTTTCTACTGGCGCTCATCATTTTCCACATTGCAGCGCTTTTTTATGCGCTCTTGTTATGCTTTCAAACTCGACACATAGATGATGATTTTGCCGAAAGTGACAACATTGCACAGACTGTGGCGTTCATGTTCCAAGTACTTACATTGGCGGTACCCATTGCCGTTCTGGTGGAAGACAGCAACAACATTTATTACTTTGTACAAATCTGTACCGTCTTTCTCCAAAATTTTACCGTCCTGGCGTTGATGTTTGTACCCAAAATGATCAAAAACTCGACGGCGCAAGGAAATGCGTTCACGCTCACACGGAAAGATTCCATCCCCATGGCGTCCATTACACACTGCAAATGGGATGAAGGTGTCGATGTCATTCATGAACTCATTGCCGAGGATTCCATCGGATTCACGGACGAACAACGAGACAAGTTGGTCATGGTCAAGTCGCTCTTATTGAATCGGCATCGAAAAATGAGTCAAAAGGAAGAAAAACTTTCCTATGTACCGACCAATTTGCTCTTGAAGAGGTCCACCGCCAACAATTTCATCATGAGAGAGTTTGGAGGCGTCATGCTGGACGATAACATGTCCATGTCGGAATACAGTACGACGCTCGAATCCACTCGATCGGCATTTCTGTTCGCGTCCGATTCGGCGTACTTTCAGGACGATGGAATTTATCACGTGCCTCCCGAATTTCACCTCTTGCCGAAGGAAAAGAAAGAATCCGTCTGTGACATGCTTTCCTTTGCATCGCTGAACCATTGGGGATTCAACATTTTTGAACTGTTGGAAGTGACAGATGGGCATCCCCTGGTGTTCGTTGGATGGGCCATTCTCGGTTCCCCGTATTCCCAAATGGCCATGGCCAAGGCTGCAGGGCGGAAAACCCCCGACCAATTCGACTTGGGAGGGTACAAGTTTCCCGATGAAAAGGGGTTCAACGTCCCCGTGAGGACCCTTTGTGACTATCTCCGCGTGATCGAGGAGGACTACGAAAACAATCCATACCACAATGCTAGTAAGTGGCCAACATGACTTTGTGCTGAGTCCATTTGGACAACTCCAATTTCGTCTCACGCATGAACTAACTTGATGCTTTCCTGCACTCGCCAGTCCATGCTGCCGACGTTCTACAGTCGCTTCATTCACTCATTCAAATGACCAAAGATACTCTCAAGCCTTCGAAGGAAGAGCTGTTATCAATCCTTTTGGCGGCTGCGGTGCACGATGTGAAGCATCCAGGAAGGAACAACGCTTTCCAGTCGCAGGCATTGACTGGGTTTTCCCTGACGTACAACAAAACTTCGATTCTCGAAAACCTCCATGCTTCCCATGCCTTCCGGCGTATGCTCAATATTGACTTTACTTCGGACGAGTCCGGCCCCAACGATGTCAGAAAGGTTTCCAAGCACTTCAATATCCTTTGCAACTTGAAGAAGAAGCAGTTTCATTCTGTTCGCGAAAAGGTGATTGATGCCATTCTACACACTGACATGTCCAAGCACTTTGAGTTTGTCAACAAGATGAAAGCGATGGCTTTGGCCCGGCACCAACCAGGAGATTCTCAAAGTGAGGCGTCCGGCCCCAAGGATGAAGAGGTTTGGCAAATCCTGCTTTTCCTTTTGCACATGGCCGATATTTCCAATTCGGCCAAGCCGGATCCAATCTTCTCTTTGTGGGCAGAACGTGTCATGGAGGAATTCTTCCAGCAAGGCGATGAAGAGTCTCGTTTGGGTATGCCCATCTCGAACCTATGCAATCGTGCCACAGTGAACATCCCAGATTCCCAGTTTGGCTTTATGAACTTTGTGGTCCAGCCATCCTACGATGTCCTAGGCCAACTGTTACCAGAAGTCCAGGAGGCAGTACTGCCCATTGTCAGTAGGAATCTCGATTATTGGCAGTTGGAAAAGGAGAAGAAGCACATCCGTGGCGCGAGCCACAAGAAGGAACAAGCGGTGGAAGCCTTGAACCATGAAAAATCGAACTGAGCAGCGGTATAAGGACAGGGGTGAATGCTGTTTTGCTGTTGGGTTTGTGGATTCAGTGTTTGGGGTTAAGGAGCATGGCGGAGTGCTTTCACTTGCGCGAGTTCTGGGGTACATGTACAAAGATGCTACAAGGGCTGGTTGCAGCCCCGTAATTTAGTGCGCAGCGTTTTCCATAGTTGATCATCGTAGCTCGTGGACTCGCGGCAATCCTTGCCAGATTGCTTGATGCTAGGGCGGCTGCATGAAGGAGCCATGGGACTGCTGCTTCTGGATAGAACTATGCCATAGCTACAGTTTTGTGACAAGAATCTACAATAGTGAACAAGATAGCTGACCTTTGGTCCAAGGAAATACAACATCACGTCCCTTCGAAGCCCCGCTCAGCACAACAATGCCAACATCAAACTATGCACTGCTGGTGGCCATTGTTGCTTCGCGGTACGTCTCGTGCACCATTGATGTTGATTCGGCGTTGCACATTGGTGCGTTTTGGTCAACTTCTGTGGGATGTGCTCGGTCTGAAGCAGACCATCCCGTGCTATGTTCATCTCTTTGGGAAAACTTGCTGTTCAACAGTTCCCGCGTCACCTGACCACTCGACGACCAATCTCCCGGCATATTGGCAATATCTTGAGGAGGGGCTTGTTTGCATCGCACTTGAAGAACTCGCTTGTAGGTAGACCATTTCTGCTCCATCCTTGGCTCGACACAGTCGGTACTGTGCCGGACACTCTGGCTGGTGGTGCTTCGGAATAAGGTGATTCCAGTGCACGTTGCCAACAATCTCCATGTCATGTTGCCTCCTTTGCGTTTCTGGAGGGTGATCGTTGAAATCTGTGTTCCCACGGCGAATGCTCCAGGACGGCCAGTCTTACTTGCTTGCTTGGGGTGAGCGAGTAAACCTGGTCGCTGGTGTTGAATCCAAATAAGTTTGTATAGTAGCATTGAACAAGACTATCACCCAGGTCCCCTGCTTTGGAAGGAATGGCAATCTTAAAGAATCTTCCACACCCTAAAGTATACCCGTACCGGTACACTTCTAAAAGATCCAAAGGCACGTCACTCAATTCAGTTCGCAAGTGGTGACTCAGTCGACGGACTTCCTCGAACCCACCTTCCGAGTCACGCCAGATCCTCCCTCCAAAACCCGAAAAAGGAAAGGGGATCTATTGCAATAGAAAGAAGTCAACAAACAATGGTTTTCTTCAAAGCAACTACTGGGCGTCCACCTGCTAAAGAGGGGACAGTATCACCAACGAGCAGCCATTCTTCCCATCAAATATTGTCGGATACCCTAGTACGAGTCCAACCAGGCCAATACAGCCCTTTGGCTGCCAAGCTTTTGATGCAGTTGGCGGGTTGGTCGTACTCGGACTTTGACACCTTTCAGGATGAGGTTGCCAATAATATTCTGGAGGATCCTCACGAAATGGAGATGATCATGATGCAAGTGAAGAATCAGCCCATGATGGTACAAGCCACGGCCCAAATGATTCGAACCCGAGACAAGCGGGTAGCCATTGTGGTCTTTCGTGGGACAGAACTGACCAACATTGTGAATTGGATGACGGATGCCATTTCCAAGCAAACGGACTTTTACAAGCTACCAAAGAAGAACATGTCGTCATCGTGTGAGAAGGACTATGTCAAGGTCCACACGGGGTTTCGGAACAACTTTGACAAAGTCTGGTTTGGAGACAGAGGAATCCAAAGGCACCTTTTGAATCCGGAACTGATGCGTCACGATTACGACTATGAAACACCACGAGACCAACAAACGCACATTCCATCGGAACAGGACGAACTGGAAGCCATTTACATTTGTGGACACAGTCTCGGAGGCGCCATGGCCTTTTTGGCTGGCTTGTACATGGGTGCCTTGCTGAACAACCACAATGACAAGCAACAGTCCAATAATACTCTATTCTCGAAACTCCGTGGAGTCTACACGTATGGCTCTCCCATGGTGGTCAATGACTGGGATCGAAATACTTGTGAACGAATTTGTGGGCATGTGACATTCCGGCACGTCTATTACAATGACATTGTCCCTCATCTGCCACCGTTGAGCACGGGGGCGTTTGACCACGTCGGTTCCGAGTACCGATATCATCCCCGGACAGGATGGAGAAAACGCCAGGAAGAAAACTCAATAGTAGAGTGGCATGCAGGACGTTGTACCCAAGTTGTTTCCATTGTCTTTACCACACCGTTTGCTGCCATGGATTGGGTCCTGGACCAAATCAATTGGCTCAACTTTTTCCGCGGCGAGTGTCGGGATCTGCCCGTGATTGGATGGTTGTCTCGGGGGTATTTGAAGCAAATGTGGTCCTTTCTGGACCACAGTCCTATTGGATATACAGAGTCCCTGGACCACCAACTGCGAGAAGATGGTTCAATAGAATATTGACTTCATTCACACCCTTCGATTCTTCGATCGTGGACAACCTGGAAAATACTGGTAGGATCATCGTACGATTTCAGCAAAGAGTGACTGACTAAGTAATTTTTCTTCTGTAGGCTCGAATTCAAGTTGCCAATGACAATTGGTTCCATCTGTGGTAACTCTACAGCTAGACTGTTTGGTCTAACTGACTGTTACTCGACTCATCATTGCTGGGCTATCTTCAATATCTAATGTACAGTACCTATGAAACGGCACGGAATATTTCATGAGTTGATGAGGAGGTCTGGAGTTTTCTCTGGTGGCTTTCAGAGTTTCTACCGTAGTCGTTCTCGATTGCAAAGGCGGCGAAGCAAAGGCGGTGAAGCAGTTTATGGTCCCAAAAGGTCTTGACTGGCTTGCATTGGAAGCTTGTTGAAAATAATGCTGTTCCTCTGGAGATTTATTGGGGGGGGATGTGATGTAAATATTACCAAAGCCAGCGGAACCGATGAAAGCAAATTCGCCCCCAAAATGATCTCACCCCCGAATATTGTCCCTTTTGATCCCCCTTTTCTCCCACCGGTACTGATAGGCTCGATAGATCTTCGATAGATCTTGCTTGCTTTTGCCGCGCACTTCTTTCGCCACTGCGATGATCCACAGAATTCGATCGATCTGCATGGTCGAGCTACATGGTTATTGTAACGGGTTGCTGCCGGCATTGGTCAATGGCATGCAGTATATATGCACTGTGGCAGAGCTCGATTGCATTGTCTGTATTCTAGTTAGCTAGCTATAGCTGGGTATAGATTGACGTTCATCGATCGATGGGTTCCACTTTCGCTTCATACTGTAAAAGGAAGAGCCAAAAACAAAACAAAAAGACAAGAACAAACCGATGGACACAAATCGCAACGGCACCGGCAGCGTGGAAAGTGGAACGAAATTTCATTCAGGACTTACTTGTACACATAGTATTGGAAAGGAGACAGCTAGACTATATATCATACAATGGTGTCGTCTTTGAGACACTGTCGACGACAGCGCCGGAAATTGGGAGCTACAGTGCTGGTGGCGTGCCTTTTACTCGTAGTAGCACCAGTGGCGGTGGTCTGTCTGACTTGGAATTTCTCGGTGGATGCCCAGGATACAGATACAGATGCTTCTGTTTCCTCCAATCAAGATCCTCCAGATGTCTGGAACTTGAAGAACCAAAGAACAGACTTGGAAGGATCCACTGCTGATGCTGCTCATCAGCAAGAACCTGAAACGCAAGAGACAGAGGTTCCGGAACATGCAGCAGCAACCACAGCTGAACAAGGGACAACCAGTCCCACCCATGTCACAACACCTGAAGCAGTGGATGAAGGAGAGGCTGAACAGCTAGACCGAAAGCTGGATTCACAAGAACCCAGCCAACCATCAGTTCAGCCAGAAGATTCGAGTACAGATCAGACAAAAACTACCAGTGAAGGGATTTGCTCGGTCAGTTCTTGGTTGGATCCACTCTGTGGCAATCATCAACCTCAGTCTGACAGCAGAGAATTCTCTGAGGAAGATCCTAAGCAACAACAATCGCAAGAAGCACATTCCTCACAGCAGCAACCCACCACCACCACCACTACTAGTGAAGACGATGCACCACCCGTTTTTATGATTCCTTCCTTTGCAGGAACGAGACTCCGGAGTTGGTCCGATGTAGAATGCCATAGTGGCGCCTCTCTCACGAACCGAGCTGGAAGACAACGACCATTTGCCAATTTTCGGGTGGGAGGTTCTGTGTGGCTTGATATCAAACGTCTCATGGCACATACCAGTTGCTGGGTCAATTGCATCAAACTACTTCCTGAATCACAGGAGGATGATCTCTGTGCGACACGACCGGACGAAGGACTTGACGCCATTACGCAGGTACGATACGATCGAGCATAGCAAATAATGTTTCTGCTTGTGAGTGTGTGTGAATGAGGAAGATTGATTGCACTCACTCATTCATTGCCAACCCGGAACAACAACTAACTCGTGATTGATCGTTAAATCGTTTGTCAGGTGGACGAACAATTGCCCACTGGCTTTCTCTGGAAAGATGCCATTCACATGCTGGCCACAATGGGATACCGACCGGGGACATCCATGTTTGCACATCCCTACGATTGGAGGCTTCCGCCCAAGAAAATGGAACAACGAGATAGATCCTTCTCTAGACTCAAATCAAACATTGAACGCACTGTCCGAGAACACAAACAACGCAATCCACACTCTCCCATTCGAGGCGTATTCTTGGTTGCATTCTCCATGGGAAATCTATTCACACAGTACTTTTTCCGATACCTTCAAGCTGGACTCGGTCAAAAGGGAATGGAACAATGGGTCGATGAGCATGTGTATGCACTCGTCATGGCGGGGGCTCCCTTTTTAGGAAGCGGATCCACACTCGAGAGCATTATTGTCGGGGAGACGGCCGGATTGCCCATGCAAAAGGAACAGGCACGTGACATGATGCTCACATGGGGAAGCATGCCCTGGATGATGCCCACGGCGCCATTGTTGCGGAACCCACGACACGCTGCCATGAACCACGGCGAACGCGACTTGCCCGTGCAACAGGTACGTCTGACAACCCACGATGGACGGGTCTTTGATCCGCCAAATCGCGATATCGTCAAGACAAACGGCTGGTTGGGACAGATTGGGGATCCGAGACTATCCAGCGTGCAGAATATCATTGACCGATGGTATGCCGAGGACCCGCTGTTTGACCCCGACGCGGCGCGAGAGCCCTTTGTGCCACCCAAAAACTTGATTGATCATGTCATTTGTGCCTATGGGATCAACGTTCCCACCCCGATCCGGTTAGAGTTTGAAGAAGACAAGAACAATGCGGGCTTCTACAAGAAAACCGACGAGGTTGTCAACAATCGGGGTGATGTTAGATCGTCTCGTACCGGGAAGCGGGTTTTACCCGTACGCCAACAATACGCTACTCGAAAGAGCGGGGATGGAACGGTGGACTATGCTTCCTTATCCTGGTGTCATTCTTGGTTTGGAAAGGACGTGGTGAATATCACGAGAATCCCCGCAAACCGAAAATACGAACCAGACGAGGTCGAGCGATACGAGAATGTGGACGTCCTCGATCCGAAACAATTGTCGGCAACAGAGAAGCGACCTCATGGATTCAACTCTTTCTATTCCAAACAGTGGGTTGATGTTCATCCGGACTCTGGTTTGCAACGGCCCAAGTCAATACAAGTCTGGGAATTTGACGGCATTACACACCGCGACAGCGTCACGCATCCTCTTTTCTTGCGCATCTGGAAGGATATACTCGGCGGCACGACGGCGTTCTCTCGGGCTTACACCAACGCACGAGAGCGCGTCATGAAACGGATGTGGAAGGAAATTGACGATTCGGGCACAATGGATGGCATCAGCAAAAACTGGCTATTGGATCTTTCACGCGAGGGCACATTCCAGAACACAAACGGCAATGTGCCGACAAATGACAACGGTATGCATGACGTAGGTTTCGTTCCAAGCTGGTGCCTTGGTTACTATTTTGCTAACGCTGTTTTTCGCACCCTTCCAGATTGCTTTTGGAACTACGCCGAAGTCCGATGTGATAGACCCAGGTACTGCGAGTACCAGTATCGTGTTGGTGACGTGCACCTATCCCAGTCTTGTCGACTTCGTGAGACGCCGTTGGCGAAGGACGACCCACGGGTGCTGCTTCGTGACGCCGTGGCATACAATGTGTCATACACAGTTGCACCTGATCGGGTGGAGTGGCAGACTGTCTACCGAAGTCAAGACCCACAATTCATCCCTCCTTGGGCCCAATTGTTCTTGGCGTTCCTCGGTGGCGCGGCTGCTTTGGCGGTTCTCCTTTGTGGTGCATGTCACCTTTACGGGGAACAGCATTTGTTTGCTTCACTAGAGACAGAATAGCTCAACAATGCTCTCGGATCTTACGTGGTTCAGCATTGTCCAAACTGGTCTCCCTCCAACGGTCATGAACCTGCGATCCACTGTCCATTGAGTCGATTGAATCATTCCATTCATCCCGTCTCCGGAACCGCCTTGTGGGCTCCATCGAGGATGGCGCAACATGCGATGGCCTAGTTTCAAGGATGCATAGCATTTGCTGATCGGTGAATGCCATACGGTACCCAGGCACGGACTTGCTCACGGTTCTAAAAGTATCACAGCTTACATGTACCAGGCCATAACACGCTAGCTACATGTAGAGTTGCCAAGCCATGTTAGAGAGAGTTACAGGGATACAAGCTCAGGATAGGCAATACCGTTGGAGTGGTGCATGGGTAACCTCAGCTAGCTAGCTTACTATAGAGGACACGACTTTTAAAACAAGATCTTGCCAACAAGCAAATCATTACCGCTCCTGGCTCCAGGGACCAAATGGCGGCTCGTCCACCAGCTGTTCTGCAGCCAGCAAAAGCTTTTGGGATCCGGCGTTCAGTAACAGCCAACACACACCAGATGTTAGTTACTCAGTAGCTTCGGTTGTAGGGCGCAGTAACTGTAGCCAGAAGACACCAGATGATCCAATCATCTAAAAGAGAAAACCCAAAAGCAGTGTTTTAATTGTATGGATGTTAAATCTCTCAATACTGAAGCCTTAAACAGGAGCAAGGCCTTTAATACTTCTGAAAATGATCCAAAACATTTTTGCCTGGTGCTCTGCTCTTGCGCTTTGCGGAAATTGCCATGGATGTATATGTTTGTGGTGGCGCCATGCAGTCCATTCTCTCCGTTCCACAAGCTACTGCGTCATCAATCCTCCAGCATGAAGCTTACTAAAGGCTTGTCCTTTTTGCTCGCGCTGGTCGCGACGGCTGATACTACGGTAAGTCTGATGCGTTTAGTGTGGAACCATTCTCTTTACATGTCAACTCCGTGAAGACGGAATCGAATCAGTCTATGGTCCCAAAGAGGCACAGAACCACAGTATTATTGTCCTTTTCTGAGCAACTTAGCAATTTACTCATTGACCCTTTCATTCTCTGCCTCACTATAAACGTGCCTGTAGCCTGGCTTAAGGGCAAGAGACAGCGAAAACCAAAAGCGGCGGAGCAACAATGATCGTGGTCATTCCATCTCCTCCCAGCACTTGAAACAAGAAAGTCCATTGTCAAAATCTGAAAGGACAGGAGATGCAGCAATGTCGACAGAGTCCAGTACTGCTGGAACCAAGAATGGTGCCAGCGACTCTGAGGTTTTGGGTCAAGAACACCGGGCCTCATGGGCAAACAACACTGAAATTGGAAAGAAGGAAAATGAGGGCAGCAATGTGATGCAACAACAGCAGCAACGTCGATTAGACTTGGGACAGGATATGGGAGATGGTGCCGTTTCGTTGCTGGATGATGCGGCACTACTAGTCTTAGGTGACGCAGTGCCTTTCAAGACATGTGATGCTCCAAACCAACAAAGAGGGGTTGTTCCAGATGGCTTTCTTGACCCATTATCTGGCTGCTATAATTCACTTGCAGGGCCAGTTCAAGTCCTCAGAAGAATGATTGAGGCACTTACTGGTCCACTCGGTGATGAACCGATTGTTAAGGAATTGCTAGATTTGGTTTTCGCACCCGTGGAAGAAGTGATGAAAGAGCTGTCCAGTCTTATACCGGCAACAGGCACTATCTGTGCTGGTGACTTTTCTGTCATGAAGGTCACTGCTCCCAAGGGGGACATGGTTGGAACCTGTGAAGGCATGCCTTTGTCCAGTGCGAACAAGGGCGAGTGGGCCATTTTTGGTGGAGAACTCGTCTTGTCACCAGAAGTCTCAACTGCAGTATGCCAAATTACCACCACCTTAGAGTTTTCCTTTTGTATGGGAGTTTCCGTTTGTGACATTCTTCCATCAGTGGCGTTCTTCATGGATGGTGGGCTCATGACATGCATTCTCAATTATATTGGAAAGGGACTCCAAACTATTACAGCTGGAGGTGGAGCTGCGGCGGCCACTGGAGTCGGGGCTGTTGTTGCTGGTGTTGCTGGAGCGGCTGCAGTTGTAATTGAATATGTCAAATGGGCAATTGCAGTTGGGTTTGAGCATGCAGGATTTGGATTCTCGCTCAGCAATGCATTTGAAATCCCGATGGCTCTATTCAACGGTGAAAAGCTTTTCCATTATGTGGCAAGACCAACAACATTCGAAAAGATTTCAATCTCAGTCCAATCTGGGACCATTCACCCACAACTGAAAGATTGGTTTCAAATTGATGGGGACGTCATTCATGGTGAGTTGATTTCGTTTTTGGCGTTTCCTTGTCCCTTTGAGGGTTCTGATTGTTTTCTTTTTCAATAACTGCCCTAGGCACCACTATGCTAATGCCCAATGGAGAACCTGTCAGGTCAGTTGCACAAACTTCTGTTTTCGTCATTGTTGGGGGACAAGATTTTTTGGAATTCTCCGTACTAAGTCATTCTGTGATTGCTACGACAGTACACAGCTGTTTGATAAGGGCCTTGCCGATTTTGACCGAGCACTGAAAAACCACGTCGAGAAACAGTTCGACAATTTTCAAGTCCATAATGTATTTCAGGGAAAGTGCCGGTTGGCCCTCAACTTCCGCAACATACCCGTAAGACAACTTCTGGTTCACCTGCGGGTCTACCTCATTGCAGCCGCTGAGACAATACCATTAACCACTCTCTTGTCTTTGGCAGGTAATTGGAGCCCTGTTCCCTCAATTCGATTTTGAGTTTGGTCGAGCTTCTGTTTTCACCTCAACTGGGTCAGCACCAGTCATTCTTCAAGATGGCAGTCAGCAAAAGGTTTACCCTGGGATGTCAGCTTTTATTGGACAGACTGGAAATGAGGGTGCACTCTTTGATGCGGTGAAAAAACTAGTGCTGAGCATGGGAGGAATCATTGTGAGTGTTTCCTTCATTGTCTATTCGGTTTGTTTTGATCAATATGGCCTCACAAAGCCCCCCCCCCCAAAGGACCAAGTTATCGATGAACACTTTCCTATTGCAAACTTACTGGGCGAAAACTTGGCTACCAGTGTGGTTGAAATGATACTTGGGAAAATGGATCTTGACAGAGTTGCATCGGACAACTCTAACAAATACTATGGAATTGTGAGTATTCAGGCTCAGGTTGGCCATATCGGGTCATTCATGTGTGCTAACTGCTGTTATGTATGGTATGTTGGTTTTACAAACCCCACAGGCTGTGACAATGAATGTGGAATACGTTGGATTCATGGTTCAAGTGCCCATGTTGCTGGGAGAGTCATTGGACGATCCTATCACGGACTTTATCTTGAAATGCGGTTCAGACTATGAGACGTTTGGATGTGAAATTACAATGGACAACATGAACGCATTTATTGCAGCAGTTGCTGAAGAAGTTGCAGGTGGTTTACTGTGGGTCTTCCAAAAAACTGCTGAGTTTTTAAAACTTGATGAAGCTGCTGAAATCATTGGAACTGCCTTCGAGAAGGTATGCATGGCTCTTGGCCACAGGCCCTATACGGGGCAAACCGAGCAAATCAGGAACACTGTCCCATTGATTGTTGCCATTCTGACACTTGTTTAATTTTTGTCATCCACCCCTGAAGGCAGGTGAGCAGATAAAAGATGTTTTCTCGAAAGACAATATTGAGGACACCATAAAAGACATTGTGGATGGCAAGCTAGATGTTGATGAAAAGTTCCAGGAGCTTGCATCCATTGGATATGCGGCGTTCTCAGCTCTGTGTAAGGATGCAGAACGTTGCAAGCCTGACGGGGAAGGTAAGCCAGGCAAAGCGGTTTCGGTACTTTCATGCTTGTTTCTAACAGGTTCTTTTTCAGCCTGCTTTGGAGATCCACTTGGACTCAAGCCTAAGCAAGGTACTTGTTGTGACTGTTGCCATGACGACACCTTTTGGGCCGGGCCTACCAAACCCCTGTCCTTACCGGGTAGGGCATGTGGAACTGAACCATGGTGGAAGGTATGTCCTATTTTCAACCACATGTTCAATGCTTGATTCATTCTAAAGCTAGCAATGGTGTGTGTTCACAGGATGGCAGGATGTGCATACCAGGTATCAGCTGCCACATGTGCCAGAATGGTGACAATCAATGGGACAGCGTTCCTGATTTGCTCGGTTTGCCCGGGAGGGCCTGTGGCCAAGAGCCATGCACACCTGATGGAATGGCTTGCTTTGGACCCTCTTGCAAGAGGTGCTGCAGTGGAACAAACATGTTTGCCAAGTGTGGCAAGCAAGGATGCTTAGGTGGGTTTATGAGTATCATTCAGACTGAATGCTGCCTGGTTTGGCATGGCTAACCCTTTTCAATTTCCTTGGATGCTGAATATATAGGTGATGGTACTGTGTGCCTAATTGGTACTACTTGCTTTGATTGCTGCAATGGAGATAGTTGGTGGTGGTCAAAGGGACTGGGGTCTCAGGCTTGTGGAACAGAACCCAAGTGGGGTGGTAAGCTTTTAAAAATGAGAATGATGACAAAGATGAATACTTGACTTTGACCTTCCTCAAATCAGTGAATTTGCCTGTTCAAACAGATGGGCAACCATGCGTGAAAGGAATCAGTTGTCACATGTGCTCAAGTGGTCATAGCACCTATTGGATGAATCCACCTGGTTCATTCTTACCTGCTGAAGCATGTGGAAAAGAGCCCTGTTGGCCAGATGGTAAAAACTGTGTCAATGGGATTAGTTGCCACCAATGCTGCAGCAAAAATAACATGGAGTTCAAATGTGGCAAGCAAGGATGCTGGGGAGGTAAGGATGCCTAGTATTTGCAATGCTCCTGTGATGTGATACACTCCAGTGACACTCAGTTCATCATGGTATGTCCAAACGCTTTTTTTGTAGATGGTAGACCCTGCCTTTTTGGAGGTTGCAAGAACTGCTGCAGCCATGAGAACTCTTGGTGGGATGATAAGGTGGCCAATGCCTGTGGCAAACAGCCATGCTGGGGAGGTGGGTATATGTCTTCTTCTTGGTTTACTCTTTTGTCTTTGCTGGACTGTTAAAAGCTGATTCCTGCCATTCCATTTTCAATGCAATATAGGCGGAAGAGAATGTGGTTTGGCTTGTGGAAGGTGCTGTGGTGGTTCCCATGAACGCAAGCAAGGATTTTGGGATCTCTTCCCCAAACGGTATTGCAACTAAACTGAGACATTCCATGCAGTCATTCATCGGGCGGGAACCTCACAGGTTTGGGATCTTCTGATCTGCTATCTTTGTTGTTCCACCAGACTCGCTTCTTCCCAAGGAGACGTACTCAAGTATATATACATATATCAAATTGTGCTTGAATGTTTTGGGCTGTTGGTACATTGCAGCTAGAGAGAGGTTAACTTTAAACAGCACTGGCCACAGCTCAAATGCAATAGTTCAGTAGAAATGTTCGTTCTATTGAATTGCCGTGCAAACTTTCTATGGAACATGGCATATATTCTCATGTGCTTATGAAGACGAGCCTAAAGGTGCGGACGACGAGAAGGGCAGCGTTCTTTTTTGTACTACTTGAGGCTGCTTGCTTTTCTTGCTATTTTCTAGAGTTCTATAGTACGGAAGTGTCGTTTGCATGCAGGGAGATGCTTGCAGTGGACATTTTTGCTTGCTTTGTGCGTCTTTCTTGCTATTTACTAGTGGTCTAGAGTACGGAAGTTTCGTTTGCAGGGAGAAGCTTGCAGTGGACACTTTTTGCTTGCTATGTGCGTCCTGACTCCTGAAATTGCCCATGGCTACCGGTATCAGCTGGAACTGAGGCGAGAGTCCTCCGTGATCAACTGAAAGGAATGAGGCAAAAGAAAAACCATAGCATGCAGCTATAGATAGTAGATTCCTTAGCACGTTGATTGTCAAGAGTGAAAGTTGCTCGGAGAGTACAAGTATGGCCGCACCTCGGTTGCTCCAAGTCGAGTCATCGGCAGTGATTCTTCAAGCCAAGGGAAGAGCATGTTATGTGACTCCCACGGTGCGCGCAAGGAGTACTGCACCTTATGCAAGCCACAAAAGTCGGGAAGTCGGGAAGCCTCTTCTACAGGTATGCAAACCAGTATCTCCAAGGTGGAATTCTCCATGAAAATTCAGGCGTTGATCCCTCTTGTTTACCATGTTACCAAGGCTTTCTCCGTGCAATCAATCTGCATTGTAGAGCCGGGTAGGTAGAGGAGTGGGTGCCTTTGTAAGAGGGCGACCATCCCAAAGTTTCAAAGGAGAATTGTTCGCTTTCGTTCAGTGTTTGTTGCCAGTAGACCAATCAGCACTGTAGTACGGTACCGTAAAGTAGCTGCCACTTGTTGCACTAGAATGCTATAGTACGGGTAACAGGGAAAGAAGAGCCAGTCATCGATCTGTGGTGCAAGTCTTCCCGTGCGCCCGTGTGTTATCCATCCGTCCGCCGAGGAAGCAAAGAAAGAGTCTATCCGAAGAGACGCGTCAAACAAGAAGGAGCCTGACATTGTGGAGATTTCTTCAGAAGCTTACGAGTAGCCGCTAAAAGGAGAAAAGAGGTGAGGTAACAAACATCATCTTGATAGAGCAAAGATACTAGTAGAGTGAAGGCAGATACCGTAGATAAACGTGAAAAACAAATACTAAATAGATACGTTAAGGAGCGAGGGGGGCTAAGCTAGGCAGAGCAGTGGCTGCTGTGGTGGGCGTACCGGGAGAGCAATGAGTATGTGAGCAGGGGAAGGGGGTGCAGGGAGGAAACCGGTACTGGCAGACCCAGGGTCAGGGTAAGAAGCTTCAGAGAAGCCGAGGAGCCGATGGATCGATCCGGAATGATCAATCGAATCGAATGATCCAATAGAGTCGGTCGAGTCAATCCGAACTAATGTCAGGTGAGCATCTGGTACTTCTTGTACCGGTAATCGTAAGGGTTAAAGCTTTTGTTTTAACTCATAGTCTTTTCACTTGTACTTCCTTAGATGTCCAATGTCAGCCTATGTCGTAGCTTGTGGGAAGCTGTAAGCATTTGCGTCGTACTTAGTTCTTGCCAGATTCTGCCCAGAATGCTCACAAGAACCAAGTGGTAGTGGTGTACTGTGGAGCTACTGTACAATGAATGCAGGTCACTAGCCAGTAGAGTATCGATGAGCACCATGGATCGTAACGAAAGCTAGTGGAAGCATCAGGTCAGACCAGAACCTGGCAACGATCCAATAGCTTTGACTTCAGCCACCCAATGGCAAGCCCCACATCCACCGTAGACAGCCGCCGTTTGCACCGGTTGCCGGTTGCTGCAGATAACTGACTGTTTCGAACCAGATGGAGCAAGGAAAAGATACTACAAGAGCGACGAGATTGCAAGTTCAGCCAAAACGTGATCAACGCATGTCATGCTTGCCTTTTGCTGCAAGAATCGTTTAGATCTTTTGTTGCAAATCAGCATGCATGGTTGGCTCACCAGCTAGCCAGCCAGCAATTGCACCCGGTAACATTTTTGCCAGATGCAGAGAGCCAAACCTCTTTGTGCTCACGAGAGAGTTGTTTTCCACTTGGCCTCCGTATGATCCGTCTCATTATTCTCAAAGCTGCAGGATCAAAATCGAGGAATCTGACAGCATTTTGTGGTTCTCGAACTGACGGACTTGAGAGGTGCTTTGCGGGTTTGACTGTGATTCTTTAAAACTATTTCTGCGTTGATTTCTTCTGCACCATGAAGTTCCTACCCAAAGTCGTTGTTGGCTTTCTGATCTCGTCCTTGGCCGTGGCTGCTGCCGCATCGGTAAGAAGATGTGAATGGTTGCTGATTGTTGGCTCGTCGTAGATTGGCATGACTGCGTTAGTACCCCATGGAATCGATTGTTTGCTTGACCTCGAACCGGCCTGGACCGCGAAGAAACGCACGCATCCAGAGCCACTGAAAATTTAAAATCCACTTCTCACGTACATGAAATCTTTTTTGGATCTCTATTAGGCACCTCTTGACAGAAGTCATGAAGTCGAGAAGCATCTGGACGACTTGACCCTTGCTGCTGGTCATGGACATGCGCGCACTCGTCTGGGTGCACCCAACAATTTTTCTGTCTCGCGAAAGCTCGACGATGATGAAGATGATAGTTCTTCGGATGATAATGATGGCATGAGAGCAAAAATCTTGGCTCTTTTGACCGAAGTAATGCCTCATCAGGTATGAACGAAACCGCATATCGGTAGACCTTTCTGTGAAGGGTCTCGTCTCATTTTAGTTTTGCGCCATTTCTTGCCATGGAGGTTGATAACATTGACAGCATTATGAGTCAATATGAAGGAAAAGAAGAGAGTTTGTTGCAGTCATTGCAGACAATGAAAGCCAACAAAGATGCCGCCAATGGGGTGACCAGTCAGTCAGGTAGCTCAGGTCAGGCTGAGGGTTCTGGCGGTCAGTCCAGTGGTTCAGGAGGTCAGGCTGGTGGTTCTGGTGGTCAGCCCAGTGGTTCGGGAGGTCAGTCAGCTGGGACAAGTGTCCAGTCTGCAGATGGTTCTGGAACTACAGCACTACCCGATGCCCGGCCCTTCACTGAGCAGGTTCCCTTCCAGGACTGCGCAGCTGCCCAGATGGGTATCATCCCCACAGAAATGGATGCATTGGCTCAATGCTACCCATCCATGGGTACTCCACTTGCTCTTCTAGAAACTATGGTGCAGCAGATGACTGCTACACTTGGGCAAAACCTCATGGTGGATGAGATTGTGCAGACTGCCTTCCAGCCAATCTTAGATCTCATGAAAGAGCTTGCCCCATTGTTGGGAGAAGAGATCAATGCTGAAGCTTTGGCGTTGATTCAAAAGGGTCAAAATGACGTGAATGACCTTACATCAGACCTTGCTGATCAGGCCGCTTCAGCAGTCACAGGTGCGGTGGAAGACATTTCAGATGCTACCATTGGACAGGCTCTTGGTGGCATTGAAAGTGGCCTTGGGTTTGACGGTCAGATCTGTGTCGGAGATTTCCCTGGCAGGAAGATTGTCTCTCCTGATAAGGATGATGTAATGACTGGCATTTGCAGTGGGTTGCCCTTGAAGGCCAAGAATGGTGAAGAGTGGACTGTGTTTGCAAGTGACCTCAACCTTCCAGCAGACATTGATGCTCAAGTGTGCGGTGGAGAAGGAAAAGACCGCAAGATGTCCTCTTGCTTGGCAGTATCCATGTGCGATGTCCTCCCTTCGGTGGCCTTCATTTTTGACCATGAGACTACCATGTGCCTCTCTGCTCGCCTGGAACAGGTTGTCAATGGCATTGCCAACCTATTACACTCAGGTGAAGGTATTGACACTGCTGTTGGCTTCACGCTGTCCAACGCATTTAATGTCCACACTGAAGTATATGGTGGCAAGGATCACTTCAGCTACAAAGCTAGTCCAGAGTTGTACACCCAAATGTCCTCCAAGCTTGAGTCCAAGATTATCAGCCCTGACCTTGATGGTTGGTTCACAATCACTGGTAATCTCAGGCAGGGATTTAACATCCTCAATCCTCTTGGGCTACCTGTTCCTGAAGATCTCATTGCTAATGCTCTTGCCCACATTGACCAATTCAACCCAGAGAAGATTATCAAGACATTTGATTCTGTGGTTGTCACCTATACACTTCAAGGCCGATTCAAGCTGAAGGTTGGCTTTGACAAAATGCCGTGAGTTGAATATAGAATACCATGGTTCAATTATTGCAATCAGCGTTTATCTCACAGAAATCTCGTTGCAATTTGGCGCAGGTATATTGGACACCTCCTAAAGCCTTTTGATGTGCAATTCGATGATGCGTCCATTGTTGTTTCTTCAGGCAAAAGCACACTCACTCTGGACAATGGCGAAAAAGCTGAAATCTACCCAGGCTTCTCCACTTACATGGGTTTGGGTGGTAACGCCAAAGCCATCAGGACTACTGTTACACAGATCTTGCTCACAATGGATGGACTTATGGTAAGCTGGCACATTGCGAATGTCCTTGGCTAGTGTTGTCGGTTAGGCTGGTTGATGGACTAAAAACTTTCCTTGATACCCAGGACCTAATGTTGGCAGAAATGCCACTTGGCCCACTTTTCCAGAGCTCTGCAGATTTTGCTTCGGAAATTGGCACTGAATTCATCTTGAAGCGTCTGGAGTTTGTGCAAGAGGACCCATCCAAAGATTACGGATTTGGTGTTCGAGCGGATATTGAGGGTGCAGGGTTCAAGCTCAAGCTCCCCCTTCGGCTAAGTGAGAATGATCTTACTGAGTTCAACCTTGACTGCAGCACTGACTTTGAGTCATTCAAATGTGACCCCAGCATTGGCAACATACAAGGTTTCTTTGCAGCACTGGCAAAGGATATGGCAGATGGGTCACTTCTCATTTTGAAGAAGTTTTCTGAAGATTTTGTCAAAGGTGCTGAAGAGGCAGGCGAGACTATTAGCATGGCCATGGACAAGGCAGGAGCAAAAGCAGGTGAGGTTTTCAAGAAAGAGAACATTGAACAGACGCTGAAAGATGTCATGGAGGGCAACATGGATGGTCTAGAGGAAGACTTGAAGGAAATTGCCTCCATTGGATATGCTGCCCTGTCTGCATTCTGCAAGAGCGAAGGATCTTGCATGCCCGATGGAGAAGCATGTGTTGGCGACCCATTTGGCAACAAAAAGAAACAAGGATCATGCTGCGGATGCTGCAATGATGAAACCCTTTGGTTGGGGAAAACATCTCTCAATCTTCCTGGTCAAGCTTGCGGCCAAGAACCCAAATGGAAGGTAAGCTTGCTGGGAACCGTCACAAAAAATTTCAATGCCTGATTCATTCTAAAGCTAGCAATGGTGTGTGTTCACAGGATGGCACGGTGTGCATACCAGGTATCAGCTGCCACATGTGCCAGAATGGCGACAATCAATGGGACAGCGTTCCTGATTTGCTTGGTTTGCCCGGTAGGGCCTGTGGACCAGAGCCATGCATACCTGATGGATCGGCTTGCTTTGGACTCTCCTGCAAGAGGTGCTGCAGTGGAACAAACATGTTTGCCAAGTGTGGCAAGCAAGGATGCTTAGGTGGGTTTATGAGAATCATTCAGACTGAATGCTGCCTGGTTGCACTTTGGCATGGCTAACCCTTTTCAATTTCAATTTCCTTGGATGCTGCCTGTATACATATAGGTGATGGTACTGTTTGCCTAATTGGTACTACTTGCTTTGATTGCTGCAATGGAGATAGTTGGTGGTGGTCAAAGGGACTGGGGTCTCAGGCTTGTGGAACAGAACCCAAGTGGGGTGGTAAGCTTAAATGAGAATGATGACAAAGATGAATACTTAAGACTTTGACCTTCCTCAAATCAGTGAATTTGCCTGTTCAAACAGATGGGCAACCATGTGTGAAAGGAATCAGTTGTCACATGTGCTCAAGTGGTCATAGCACCTATTGGATGAATCCACCTGGTTCATTCTTACCTGCTGAAGCATGTGGAAAAGAGCCCTGTTGGCCAGATGGTAAAAACTGTGTCAATGGGATTAGTTGCCACCAATGCTGCAGCAAAAATAACATGGAGTTCAAATGTGGCAAGCAAGGATGCTGGGGAGGTAAGGTTGCCTAGTTTTTGCAATGCTCCTGTGATGTGATTCACTCCAGTGACACTCAGTTCATTGCGTTATGTCCAAACGCCCTTTTTGTAGATGGAACACCCTGCATTTTTGGAGGTTGCAAGAACTGCTGCAGCCATGAGAACTCTTGGTGGGATGATAAGGTGTCCAATGCATGTGGCAAACAGCCATGCTGGGGAGGTGGGTATATGTGTTCTTCTTGGTTTACTCTTTTGTCTTTGCTGGACTGTTAAAAGCTGATTCCTGCCATTCCATTTTCAATGCAATATAGGCGGAAGAGAATGTGGCTTGGCTTGTGGAAGGTGCTGTGGTGGTTCCCATGAACGCAAGCAAGGATTTTGGGATCTCTTCCCCAAACGGTATTGCAACTAAACTGAGACATTCCATGCAGTCATTCATCGGGCGGGAACCTCACAGGTTTGGGATCTTCTGATCTGCTATCTTTGTTGTTCCACCAGACTCGCTTTGTCGCAAGGAAAGGTACTCAATTCTATATATATATATATATATCACTTTGTGCTGGAATGTGTTGGGCTGTTGGTGGGCTGCAGCTAGCCAGAGGTTAACTTTGTAACAACAGCAGTGGCCACGGCTCAAATGCAAATTTTTCAGTAGAAACGTTCATTCTATTGAATCGTCGTGCTGACTTTCTATTGCAAGACGAACCAAAAGTTGTTGACGACAAGAAAGTTAATCTAATCTCTGGCAGCAGTACAACTAAATGCTGTTATCGTTCATTTCAAGGAAAATCTTGCAGAGTGGTGTCTCCAGCGAAACCTAGCTACAGCTGTTATATAGCCAGTCTCAAAAATGCCTCGAACGGCGGTGACAGCCATTCAACGTTGGCCTGGATCGTTCTGTCGCCGCTGCCAGGCATGATGGGTTTCTTCTGTTGCACTGCTGCACTTCTGCGCTTCTTCTTTGCATCTCTTCTTTCGCAAGACGGCCGGGGTGATTTTGTTGAATCATCGATCCCGCATGCTGTGAGCTGCCATTCTTCTACGGTAGCGGCATTGGAAGTAATCACAAGATGCATCATCATTGCTGATTCTTACGGTCCTTGATCATTGCGTCGTGAGCGAAGCCAAGCGCATAATTCGATTCACGAAACGGGTTGGCAAAAGACGTAAATTACAAGGGACTAGCCATAGCCGCACTTGATGCCTCATAGAAACAATGCTAGAGCGTGGGATTGGAGCTGAATGTTCTTCCGCGATGGAATCGAATCGAACAGCACCGCACATATCAGTAGAAAGATGGAGTAAACGAATCATGCATCAATCAGAACGGCTGACACTGGATCCGCTGGTGATCTTGAGACCTTTCTGGGACTTTGGGATCCTCTATAGGCTAGCATGTTACAGTGACTGTCTTGGTGAAACTGTTTGCGGCGGTTCTGACTGCTGGGTGTGTGCTTCTCACTTCTTTGGCACAATGAGAAAAGGTTCGGGGAAATGAACCAAAAGGAGAACGCAAGATTCGAGTGGAATCGATCTGGAATTCTAGTTTTATAGCTGTTTTGTAATAATAAATAAATACTATGCATAAATAGATACGTTTTGTTACTAAAAAAGGCTTCAGTTGGAGACCTCGATTCTGGACACGTGTACGGTACAGTGCACTATTACCAGTACCTTACCTCCATGCTAGGTTCCTGCATCGCCTCGATACTCTGGACCACCAGCGCTGGTTAACTAGCTATACTAGCTAGTAGTGGGACGAGGAAGCAAGAACGTGTCTCGAAGCACTACACTGTGTACGAAGTTGCAGGCGGCTCATCACCGATGCACTCACACCGACGTGAAGGACCAATCAACTCCTGCGGCAGGCATGAGAATTATGTGCGTGGAACTAAGATGAACCAAGCATGGCCCACAGATGATCAAGCACGGATCGACCGATCTTCACACATCTACCGTCGGTTCTAGATCAGGTCTAACTTGCTCAGCCAAATATAATCTTCATGCATCCTCTCACAAATTCAGATTCTCTGACTGACAGAAACCAAACACAAACTGAGAAAAGCAAAATCTTGAGCAAAATGAAGTTCTTTGGTTGTACACTAGCTTGTCTTTTGGTCCTGAATGGCGCCTGCAAAGTTTCAGCCGGAGGCATCCGCCCTGCCTTGTCCGTACATGATACTTCTTTGTATCCACAAATCTTCTCTGTTGTTACGTCTCGAGATGTGGCATCTACCTACGGATCTTCCTGGGACATTCAACATGCCGGAAGCCGTCGTCTTCGCGAGGAAGATGACAATCTCGTTCAGCTTGGCGTCGTTGTCCACAACGAAATCGAAGCCGCTCATTTTGAACACCTTGAAACTTCGGGAGTGTTGAGCTACGAAGCCGTGGAGAACGAAGGCAACGCTCAACGTCTTCTCCAGGGCATCAATCAAGAATTGAGTTGCTACCGTACCGTTCAAGAGACTTTTGATGCCGTGGACGAGTTGGCTGCCCAGTATTCGGACTTTGTCCGAGTGGAGACCATTGGTGAATCCTGGAGAAAGCAGAACGGGGACGGCGGATTTGACATCAAGATCATGGTTCTTTCCGCTCCTACTAGCGACCCTGCCGTGAACAAGGTGGACATGATGGTAGTCGCAGGTAAGCGAGAGGGTTGCAGCTTTGCTCTCGAGTATACATGGCCCTCTCCTCATCCATGGATTGCCTCTGTCCCTTATCGATTCTTAGGTCACCACAGTCGAGAACTGCCCCCGCCGGAAGCAGTCATGAAATGGGCTACTCTTCTTTTGGAAGGCTTCGGGAAGGATGCGGATTTGACGTGGATTCTGGAACGTACCAACATCCACATTGTTCCCATTGCCAACCCCGATGGACGCCAGATTGTACAAGAGAATCTTGACTGGATGTACCGCAAGAATGCTCATCCTTTTGGCTGTGAGAATGGAACGGCATTGGAGGGTGTGGACCTCAACCGCCAATATCCCATGATGTGGGGCAATGACACTGGTTCCAGCGGCGATCCCTGTTCCACGGCCTTTCGTGGACCAGCCCCCTTGTCCGAACCGGAGTCGAATGCGGTCTTTACCTATGCCAGCCAACTCTTTGCCGATGACATGAAAAAAGGATCCATCGAAGAGGCAGAGGCAAAAGTGGATGAAGCTTGCCCCGAAGACGCAACGGGTATCTTTATTGATGTTCATTCGTACGGAGGTAAGCTTGTCGTTTGCCCAGAGCATACTAGAGTCTGATGCGTGCATCAATCAATTGTTTGAGCCCGCCGCAACTTACTGACTGACGTTTGAAAATCTGTCATCTCGACCCAGATTTCGTCTACTTTCCATTTGGCTTTGAAGACCGGATGGCACCCAATCACCGTAGCCTTTTGACCATGAGCAGCAAGTTGGCACATCCCGGGAACTATTCCCTTTGGGGTCCTGGCCAGGATGGCTTTTTGTACTTTGTTTCCGGGGACGCCACGGATGCAACCTACGGCATCAATTGTGTTGCCTCGTTTGGCTTTGAGATTGGATCCCAGTTCTATGCGGACTGTTTTGAACTCGAGTCGAGCATTGCCCCCAAGCTACACGAGTCTCTGCTCTACGCCGCCAAGTCGGCAATTTCGCCGTACACCATACCCTTGGGGCCCGATGTGTTGACCATTTCGGTGGACACCACTACTGCTAGTTCCGCCCAGCTCACAGTGGCTGTGAGTGATGCCGCACTCATTGTGGATCATGCCAAGTTTGATGGCAATCTCAGCCAGGCCATTGCACAAGTTCGCGTCTTTGTTGATGAGCATCCGTATGATAATGACGGTGTGGAAGGATTGCTCATGGACGCTCAGGATGGATCTTTTGATGAGGAAGACGAAGTTGCCACCTACTCCTTGGATACATCGGAATTGATGGTTGGGCGGCATGTCTTGTACTTTCAGGCGACCGACAGTGAAGGCTATGCAGGTCCCGTGGCTGCCGTATTCCTGGATGTGGACGATTATGCTAGTAGCAATGTCGGGTCTCCTTTAGGTGTATCCAAAATTGGACTAGGTGACGACTTTGCGGCTGATGGGTTGGCTTTTGTACAGGCTTCGTCATCTCCATCGATGAATTGTGGTTTACTTATGGTTTGTGCTACTGCCATTGCGGGAGCCATTGCCAGCCTCATGGTGTAAAACGGAATGAACCAGGTAGACGATTTTGAAGATGGCGATAAGGTCTGGAGCGATGTGGCAGTTTTGGTTGCAGTAGGGCCCGTCAGGTTGAGGAGAGTCGAGTCGTGAGAAGTACTACATGTAACGAATATAACAATGAATGTATCCGTTTTTCTGTTATTGCATTGCTAAAAGTACTGCACCACGACGATACCTTTGACATCCAAATTCAATACTGGCTAGCTAGCAAGCCTATGAAAGGCTAGCACGGTACCGTAGTTGTTTGGCACACCGTGGGAGAAGTTTCTGTGGAAATGTGCAACCTTTGATGCCTCGATCGGCAGTTGTTCACCCCCACCAACCACTTCATCTACCAGAGCCCAAACCGCATACAGTTGGCATCAAACAAGATCCAAAAGGTCGCATCACACAAAAAATCGGAACAGGCACGTTTGTAAAGATCTCGAGTGGCGTGTGACAGGTGGGAGGGCGTGTGGCTCAAAAACTATTGCAATGAAACTCTTATTCTTTAGAGGCTTCTTCTTTATCAGCACTTTGGGGAAGCTCCGTTATACTAGTACCTCGCACTCGACTCGTTTTCGGCGACCTATGCCATGAATGTCGAGGACACAAACTTCGCGGACATCACAATAGTTCGTATTGCTAGATTTCTTCATTCATTTCCGTGCCTTCTTGGCATTGTTGGGGACGAACTGCACTCCCAAGGTATTCCCTTGCAACAGACAAGTTGTGTTTCGCTTTCCCTGATCAGACACAGCACTAGTAAGTCGTCCTCTGTCCACAGTGCAGCTTGGCGATTGATTGTGATTATGCAACAACATGTTGACAGTTCTGTCACAGTTCGGAAAGTGTCTGTTCCTGAAATAATGGCTTCTATTAGGGGAAGATATTCCTATTCCAATACAACTAGTAGCTAGTACTCATACACTCATACTTATTAGTAGTTCTTCTTCTGCTTCTTCTTCTTCTGCCTTCCCCTGGCATTCTGCTTCTGCTTCCTCTTGGTAGTTTCCGTGTACTTTGTTGCCCATTCAAAGCCCTTGAAGTGATCATTGCAAAGCCAATCAAGGTTCTTCTGTGATGCTGCAAGAGCATAGGGCAAGGAAGGTTCAAACAAAAGGCCTTTGCAGAATACAACAACATGCTCACTGTCTTTAATCTTGAGTTTGACTAAGACAGGATCATCACCATCATAAGTCAGTGGATTGAAGGACTTCAAAGCATCAACTGGCTTGCGCACCAGTGTTTGACAGATGATACCCTCACATTTGTTGACATATTCATCCAAAGATTTCACATATTGATCACCACATGCCTGCTTCGATTTGCGGAGCTCCTCGTTTAGCCGGTTGTTGAGTTCATGTGCTTTTACCTTGTATCCCATGAATTTCGCTGCGGAAGACATGGCCGAAGATATGCATGTCAGTGTCCCTGGTGCCTGTTTGAATGTGAGCTCCACTTTGTCACCAGTCGGTCCCTCGAAATAGTCAAACTTCGAATCTTCTGAAGGCCCAGCACATCCGATCCGCATCCGGCGAAAGACAGTATCCTTGGCATCGCGACGACTGTTGAATTCATTCTTTTGCTCTTTGGCGAACATCTTGCCTGCTTCGCCAGCTTCTTTCCACCGTGCATTGAAGCAAAAGTCATCTTGGGCATCATAGGACACACATACATTGGCCACCGGGTCTTTCATCTCCACGCCTCCATCAGCTCTTGGTCTTGACTCAGTGTAAGTCAAAGTCTCCACATACAGTTGCTGGTACTTTGGTGGAATGTTCTTCCAACCACCTGGCTTCTTGACTTCGCTCTCATTCAGCATGCGGTAGCCTCTGTCAGTCAAAAATTGGTCCATCATCCTATCGCTCACCGAGTGTTCAGCAATGTTGCCATCTTCACCATGGAAGCGAACTTTCCACATGGACGTTTGAGCATTCCACTTGACCTGAGCAAGTGATCCCGGCATTACCATCCAAACCAATTTCGGACTTGTAAAATAGCAATAACAAACTGGAACAAACATAATAACAAGTTAGCAGAGGCAAGAGAGGTGTGAGCTGACAACCAGAAAACAGCAAAGAAACATTGAAGCCACTGACTTACACCCTGGGAGGGGAACATCTTTCCATTTTTTACTGTGCATATTTTCGTAGAGTTCCAATAGCCTTTGCTTTCGTTGCTCTGAGCATGGACTAGGATCTCCACCCATTCCAATTCGCTCCAGCTCCCGGTTTCGGTCCTGCTTGCTTTCCATATCTGCCCATGCTTGGTCTTGCTCGGATTCTGTCAACAATGGCTCATCTTCACTGGCCCAGGCACGTGCGCTCGATTCGGCTCGACTGGTGTTTTCCGTGCTAGCTTCAGCGCCGGTGTCGTCTCTAGCAGGAACATGGCTGCTGTCTAAGGCACTTGCACTTGCACTCGAATCGGCTCGACTGGTGTCTTCCGTGCTAGCTTCAGCGCCGGTGTCGTCTCTAGCAGGAACATGGCTGTCTAAGGCACTTGCACTTGCACTCGAATC